GTTCACCTGATTGGACGCATTGGGATAACTGCCACTAGTGGACACGCGTGCATCTGTGTCCTCTCCAGAGGTTAAAGCAATCGCGCGTGGACTGTCATCGCGTGAACAAACAAAGACATTTGGCTAGGCTCGACGCATCAGGAAAGTCTGCAAATGTAGCTAGCATTTGGTCAGACTAGACTCCTAACAGGAAGTACCGCGGTCTTGACAGACCAACAACGTCTGGCGCACTAATTGAGACAATGGACACGAAAATACCAAAATTGCAAGGCGCGGAGCTCTGCAGACGAGAAAGACGCACAAAACGGCCGGAGACAATTAAAAGCCTACACTGACAGATAAAGGGGGTTGTTTCATACCGGCGCATGATGCTGTTTGCGTTGGTGTTTATTAACCCAGCACCTGGTGATGATAATGGCCAAATTACGAAGGATGATTTTTCCAACATTAATGCCAACAATGTTCATGACTCAAAAGGGCTTAGGAGTCGGAGTCAAAAATTCGGCCGCATCTGCGAACGCGTGGAACCTGTAACCCACGTCCGTATAGCTAGAACGAAAGAACACTCGATCGCATCCTGTTGACTTCTCTTACAATCAAGTAAATGTATTAAATAGCAATTGATAATAAAATATTCACCGAAAAACATCAGGGAGCGATTTGGAAAAGAATAACGAGCGGGGAAAGGTATGTGAAAAATAGAAAGACAGGGTGCCAAAAACGGTGAGATCGAGGACAAAGTTTCGGAATGGTAAACAGATATTCAATCGGTTGTCTGAATTTCATCCAGAGAATCAGTACGGGTTTCGGGAAGAAGAAAGGCTAAGAAAATGAGACCACCGAGGGAGATGGCAGCATACAACCAGAAAACACCTAAAAAACCAAAAAAAAACAGGTTGATTGAATGGTTCATCATTTTGTGAGTAACCTAAAGGAAACTAATCCAAAAGCCAATAACATGGCTTGAATGGAGTATTGTCAGACGATGACACACGATAATGGATACTATAATCCTACCGAAGTAATACGTTTCGACCACGAGCGTATTTCAGTTAAAATTTCGTGAGATTTGTCACTGACTACGCATATCTGGATTATAAATCGCGAACGAACCAGGATTTAACGCAGACAGCGAGTCAGGCGGCTATTGAGTCCGACGCAGTATACGATGAAACCAGAAGCCACCGGTGAGGGCTAAAGCGAAGTAAAACATACGAAAGGAACAACAGCGTGTACGAAGACATCCAAAACGTCTACCAGCCCCCTCCCGGTAAAATATCCAGTTGGCGTTTACAGAGAGGCCACATATACAAATATATTTCGGCATGCGGTCGGAAGAGCACGAGACTCGGGTCTGAGTTAACTATGTTAAGAACCAGTAGCTGGTCGATCGCCTATGGCAGGGATAGGCGCTCGTAAATATTCGAATTTGACAAAGCGTAGAAGTAAATAAGTGAGAGTGATTTTTACGGATCGGACTAACAAGTAATAGCCGGTAAGCCTGAAATGGTTACATAAACCCACCTGTTTCTGTTTACGCATCCATGTTAATATTTGTTTAAAAATGAGCCCGCGCTCGAAAGGCTTCGTTCAAGAACTTTGAGGGCAGTTAGTATTACCGGTAAGGACATGGAAAACTGGAATGGCCATTTCTGGCTAATCAGCCGTTGTCAGCCAGTCATACCCAACCCCAAGTGGTGTACTACCCAAGACTCGAACTCCCGACCCTTTCGATCGGAGTTTAACGCTCTACCCATTGAGCCATGAGTTCGTTGTCTTGCCTGTTTAGGTCGGAAGATATTGGCAATCGTTGATGAATGTTCACTGACCGCTAACGGAACTCACTTGTATAGCTCTACCTTTGCCGGAAATATTATTTGCTTAGACTTCTAGCCGCTACGACTGCTGTCAGGACCAGACAAATGAGACCCAAGACAGAGCGGGAAAAGTGAGTTCTGTTAGTAGTTGCTGAACTTTCATCAATGAGTGTCAACTTTGAGAGACTCTGACAGCAGGTGTTAGTGTTAGTTTACAAATTGTCAACTACCAGTTCAGTTCTTACAGCACTCAACAGCGATCATCCTGAGGTGAACAATTCCCACGTCCAAATGTTTTTAATGGGAAAATAATATGGGACGCAGAGGGTCAATTCCTCTTCTGAATTGCATCCATGGAATGATTATGAGTTTCGGGTAGAAATAAGGCTATGAAAATGAGACCAGCTAGGGAGATGGCAGCGTACAGCCAGAAAACACCTAGAAAGACAGAAAACCACTTGGTTAAATGGTTACATCCATCCAAATCGAGTAGTTGAAATTAATGGCTACTGAATAAAAGTCTAATCTTAGCTGCCTGATAACACTGCAGACCAAAGCATTCCGGCCAGTCTGACCTTTGTATTTTAGAGTATTAAAAATCAAAAAAAAACATCTTTGAAGGTTATGCGTTGCCGAATCACCGGACGGCCTTTACACTAGCATTGGTAAACATAACCATAATTTTGTAAAAGTGACCGATTTATGTCGATGGAAGACCTCCGCTTAGAACTTAGATGGCGAGCTTCTGGAAAACTACAACTACTGAGGTGGAAACGGCAAAGAGCAGGGAGATAAATATGGCCATTTGTGACTTATTAGCCGTCGTCAGCCAGACATATCCAATCCCAAGTTTGTATCACCCGAGATGGTAGAGTGGTACACGCCATGACCAAAGTATCAGGGATTCGAATCTCGGATGATTCACACCTGGGATTGGGTATGACTGGCTGATGGCGGTTAATAAGACAGAAATGGCCATTCCGTTCTCTCCGGGCTTTGTCGGTTCCACTTCATCAAATATTACAGGTCAGTATGCCATTGCCTTTGACGGCTTTAGATTGAGTTCCAAGGCACAATGGGACGGGCATGTTTCTTAACCAAATCAGTGCGCTCCCTACTATCAACTACCACTGCCTTAGTCATCTAAAATAAACATGAAAATGGAATTGATGTAAGAGTAAGGGTTTAATTCTTACAACAGCCAACAGGGA